GATGTAGGTTTCTGCCCTATTTTGCCGTCGCTGTTTCCGTCATTCTATTGCGGGAATGCCCGCCCTTCTGACGCCGAAATTTTCCGCCTTGCTTTGTTTCCATCGTTTGGGGTGCATTCCCGACACGCTCTTGTGAAGAACGTCAAGCAAAATACGGCGGATTTGGAGTCAGGGGGGGAGTGGTGAGGCCTTGGGTTGCGCACAGACATCCCCCCAGGTAGTCCCAGCTGGTCTCAACAGGCCCCCAGGGAGCGGACTGGGGCGAACTCAGCGCCACGGTGCTGCTTCTGGCGGCGCCCCTGGGGCGCTCCGCGCCTCAGGGTTGGGGTGTTGAGACCGCCCTGGGCCCCCTCGGGAGCCCGTGGAGGCCAGCTGGGGCTGCCTGGGGGGGACGTCTGTGCGCAGCCCGAGGCACTGCCAGTTCGGAGTCGGGCCAGAGGCGACGCCAGGGAGGAGGGGGAGGAGGAGGAGGGGGAGGAGGAGGAGGAGGAGGAGGAGGAGGAGGAGGAGGAGGAGGAGGAGGACCCACGATGCATCAAGGAATGATGATGCATTGCGCTCCCCCGTCCCAAGTCGGGCTCACCTTGGGCATCACCTCGTTGGACCACCTCGGGCATGCAACTTTTCAACTGCCATCCGGTGTGACATCATCCTTTGCTGTATCCAGCTGTGGAAAAGCATTCTCCAGCTGTGAAAACAAAACACCCTCCCACCCACAGTCCCCTTCTCATAAGACCCTATTGTGAAGGCCTGACGGCCGGTGCCGCCGACCCTGAAAAACATCGACGACGACCAGGAGGGGGAGGAGGATGAGAAGGAGGAGGAGGAGGAGGAGGAGGAGGAGGAGGAGGAGGCGGAGATTCGGAGGAGGAGGAGGAGGAGGAGGAAGAGGAGGAAGAGGAGGAGGAGAAGGAGGAGGAAAAGGACTCCCCCCTGGGCCCCCCCACCCTGGGGAGGATGACCGGACCGGAGGAGGACCAGCGTGGGAGAGGGGAGGGGAGGATGAGGAGGACTCCCAGGGACGGATGCGTATCTGACTCCCCCCCACCCCCTGGGACTTCCCCCCACCTGGGGAGGAGGACCCGAGGAGGACCGGCGCGCCCGAGAAAGACTGGCGTGGGAGAGGAGGGCCCCCAGAGGCGATGCGAATCTGACCGCCCCCTCCCGGGACCCCCCCCCTCCCGCCGGGGATGGAACAAAGGGAAGGGGGATGAAATTCCCTCAAGCTGCGAATCCGTTCCCCGAACGAGGAAGGGTGCTCTCTCTCTCTCTCTCTCCCGACGGGAGAGGAGGATGGGAAGGAGGGGACGGAAGACGGCTCCCTCCCCGTCGACGGGACCGGACAGACACCCCAAACACGCCGACAGGGCCGGCGGATTTGTCCGTGGGCGCTCGTGGGCGCTTGGTGGGCGCCTCGCGCGCTGGGTGGGTGTGCCGAGGTCTCGCCTGGTGCCCGCCCGTGGGCGCCTGGTGGTCGCCTCATGGGCGCCTCGTCCGCTGGGCGGCCGCATGCATTCCGTCTTCTCCGAAGCGGAAGTAGAGTCTCCCGCCCCTCTCCCCACCCCGAGGTCGGGGCTATCGTCCCCTCCCCTCCGCGTAGTGTTTTTTGTGTACGCTGCGCACGCTCACTCATCCTACACGTCGCATCATATCATCCCAGCAAATTTGGAAGCGACCCCCTCCCGCCATCTCCTGCAACAAAACACGATGCGGTGCACATGCGTTGATCTAGCATTGTCTTTCCTGAGAGTATATTGCAACCGATTAGATGCGAACCACATGCGTGCGCCGCCGCGCCCGCATGCCAAGCCCATTCCGAAACCATGGGCGGGCTCACAGTTTCAACCAGCAGCTATTCAACACTAACACAACGAGTGTTTGTACACCATCAAAGTTGACAGTTCTGCGCGCGCACTCGTTGAAATCATCAGAGAATTACCTCGTGACGTACCCAACCCTTGCTAAGCATATCGCGACTATACCCAGGGCCGCTCACTACAAACGAAGAGATTGAAGGACCCGCAGTGCGCATGAGCACCCAGAAGTGAAATCAGAAGAGCACTGCAGCGGGAATACGGGCGTAACTGCTGTGTTTGCGTACGTACACCTCCACCCCGCTGGACCTCCCAGGAGCCTATGGAAGTGGCGACAGTTGCGCATTGCCCCGCCCCCCAGGGAGCCGCGAGGTCTCAGCGAGGTGTGCGTGGCACCTCACCCCGCCCCGCTTGCCACGAGCCCACGAAAATGGCGGATGTTGCGCGGTTGCCAGCCCCCAGGGAGCCGCGAGGTCTCGGCGAGGTGTGCGTGACACCCCACTTTGCCCTGCCTCGCAGGTGCCAGCCCCCAGGGAGCTGCGAGGTCTCGGCTGGGTCCGCTTGGCCTTACACTTCGCTGGATCTCCTCGAAGCTTACGAGAGGCGGCGACAATTGCGCACTTCGCAGCCCCCCAAGGAAGCCGCGAGGTCTCGACGGGGTCCGCGTGACGACCGACTGCGCTGGACCTCCCAGGAGCCCACGAAAGCGGCGACAATTGCGCACTTCGCAGCCCCCCAGGGAGCCGCGAGGTCCCAACTGGATCCCCGTGTCCCCCCACTCCGCTGAACTTCCCAGAAGCCTACGAAAATGGCGACAGTTGCGCACTTCGTAGCTTCGTAGCCCCCCAGGGGGCCGCGAGGTCTCAACTAAGTCCCCGTGCCCCCCCACTCCGCTGAACCTCCCAGGAGCCCACGAAAGTGGCAACAATTTTGCGCACTTCGCAGCCCCCCAGGGAGCAGCGAGGTCCCAACTGGATCCCTGTGTAACTCCACACCGCGGGACCTCCCAGGAGCCCACGAAAGTGGCGACAATTTTGCGCACTTCGCAGCCCCCCAGGGAGCCGCGAGGTCCCAACTGGACACCCCTTACAACCCCGCGCCGCGGGACCTCCCAGGAGCCCACGAAGGTGGTGACAATTGCGCACTTCGCAGCCCCTCAGGGAGCCGCGAGGTCCCAACTGGATCCCCGTACACCTCCACGCCGCGGGATTTGCTCACTTCCGGGTCCGTGGGACAGGACTCGGAAGCATCTGTTAGCACAGGTCCCCACGTAATTTGCTCATTTCTGGATTGGCTGGTGGAGCTCCCGGGTCGCCTTGGGGGGCTGACCCGGCACGCTTTTCGGAGGAAGTCTTGTGCGGTTTGCTCACGTCCGGGTCCGTGCCGAAACTCGGTTCGGGCCCGGGGGAGGGCCGGCCAAACGGGCTGGGGCGCCGACCCTGCCTCAGCCCCCATCGTCCTCTCCGCTCGCAGCCCCCGCGCCGCCCCCGACGGCCATCCGCGACCTCCCGCGCGGGGCCAGGACAGAGAGAATCTATCTCCAGAGCGTTCCAGAAATCTCTCAGAGCGTTCTGGAACGCTCTGAGGAGGCCATGGCGCCCGATACATCCTCCAGAATCGCCGGATCTCAGAGATCCCCGATTTATCCCTGTCCAATGCTGTCCCTGTCTTGGCTTCGTGCTACAGTAGGGGTCTTCGGCCCAGCCCGCCACTTTGCCTGGGTCGTGGACGACAGGCCTCTTGGATACCTCTGGGCCTTTCGGGGCCTCTCGGAGGCCTTTATCGGGCCTCTTGGGGACCTTGGTAGCCTCCTGGGGGCTTCTGAGTGTCGCTTGTGGGGTTCTTGGGGGCCTGCTGGTTGCCTCGAGGCCATCTTGTGTTGGAGGGTTCGAAATGGCACTTCAAATTCCTTATCTTGGTCCCTGTTTGGGGTCTGGCGGGGCTCTCTCGGATGGCCCATTTGGCCGTCTTGGACGAGAGCAAGCACAGAAAAGGCAAGTACGCAAACACCTAAACAAGAGCCACATGTTTGAAGATCGTAGGATATTGGGCGGACCCCAGGGCCTCCAAGACGGCCCAAGAGGCACCCACGAGTGCCCTTGGGATCATCTTAAGGCATGTTGGGAATGTGGGTTCAGCACCACGCTCCCTTGGAAAAGCTGCGCGGCACACCCCGGGAGCGCCCAGGAGCGCCTGGGAATAGTGCAAGTTGGGGTCTTGGGATCTTTGCGAGCATGCGCAATACGGTCAGACGCGTTTGCTCAGTGTGTCCCGCATCAGGTTCTGGCCCACCGCGCTCCGGCGCGACCCGCTAAACACGTCCCAGCCCCCAAGCATCAGCATTCCGAGTGCTTCGCAGCCTCGCGCTCTCACGAATCATAGCGACACGCCATCAGCCCGCGAGGCACAGCGTGCCGCAGAGGCCGCCGCTGCGACACGCTGAAGCAAAGGCCCTTGACCGCCCTCAGCAGAAAGGACTCCACGGGACCAGGTGGCACTCCACTTGGGCACTCGATCCTGGACCCCACGATCAACCGCAACCGTCTCCAGCTCTCGCGCCGAACACCGCAGGAGACCGCCGCAGAACCTCCGAAGACCGCCGAAGGCCGCCAGAAGACCGCCGGAGGCCGCCAGAAGACCGCCCAGGGCCGGTGGGCCAGAAGAGGTCCATCGGCGAATGCGTCACGCTTCGTGCCTCGCGGCGCGGTGGCGGAGTTCCACGGCCAACGGGCCCGAGCGCACGAGCGCCATGGGGGCCTGGCTCCTCTGGCCTCCCGGGCCTCCCGGGCCCGGCCGCGGGTGTGGCTGCCCCGCCGCTCGCGTCGTGAGCCGCCCGCGGGGGCCGCTCGCGACGCGCCTCCGTCCTCTTCTCCACAGCAAGCCAACGAGCAGAACACGCCATGTGGGCTGTCCACGGCAGGTTCGCGTCGTGTGGACCGGCGGCGACCCCGCCGCTGGCGCTCAACGTTGAACGCCGCGGGCGACCCAGAGTCGGTCGATGCTGAACGATCTGACGTTTCGGAATCAGCCGATCGTTCAAGGTTCAACTATGCCCCTGGTATCAGAAAACAAAGCCTAAGTCGGCACGACACCAGCCTGCCGTACCATGGTTTCGTGTTCGGTTTGAGGCAGCGCTTGACCGTTGTGGTTCGTCACGAGGGCGCCATCCTCCGCCTGCCTCCGCGTAGCTGCTTGGGCTCTAGAGCAAGAGGATTGTAGTGATCGCGGACGACCCAGGATCTTGCAATGAGGGCGTTGAGCCTTGCGATATTTGCATTGTCCCTGCCAGGTAGTTGCGCGGCAGAGGAGCCTACCTGCAATGGGGTCGACGCGGAAGAGGCTTCCCTTCTTCAGAGCAGGCAGCGCGTCCGTCAGCTGCCTGACGATTCTACCACCAGCGGCGCTGACGGTTCCATCGGTGACGAGTTCGGGCAGGCCATGAACGACCTGGGCGACTTGAAGGATGTGCCACCGCAAACGATCAGCAGTGTCGGAAGCAGCATCAGGCAGGCGATGCAGGACTGGAAGAACGCGCAGTCGGAGCAGAAGAAGTGGGACGAGGAGAACGACAAGCTCAAGAAGATTGAGCAATCGGTCGAGGACATGCCCACGCCCGCGGATGCATCGCTCTTGAAGAGCAGGCAGCGCGTCCGTCAGCTGCCTGACGATTCTACCACCAGCGGCGCTGACGGTTCCATCGGTGACGAGTTCGGGCAGGCCATGAGCGACCTGGGTGACTTGAAGGATGTGCCACCGCAAACGATCAGCAGTGTCGGAAGCAGCATCAAGCAGGCGATGCAGGACTGGAAGAACGCGCAGTCGGAGCAGAAGAAGTGGGATGAGGAGAACGACAAGCTCAAGAAGATTGAGCAGTCGGTCGAGGACATGCCTACGCCCGTGGACGCGTCGCTCTTGAAGAGCAGGCAGCGCGTCCGTCAGCTGCCTGACGATTCTACCACCAGCGGCGCTGACGGTTCCATAGGTGACGAGTTCGGGCAGGCCATGAACGACCTGGGTGACTTGAAGGATGTGCCACCGCAAACGATCAGCAGTGTCGGAAGCAGCATCAAGCAGGCGATGCAGGACTGGAAGAACGCGCAGTCGGAGCAGAAGAAGTGGGATGAGGAGAACGACAAGCTCAAGAAGATTGAGCAGTCGGTCGAGGACATGCCCACGCCCGTGGACGCGTCGCTCTTGAAGAGCAGGCAGCGCGTCCGTCAGCTGCCTGACGATTCTACCACCAGCGGCGCTGACGGTTCCATCGGTGACGAGTTCGGGCAGGCCATGAGCGACCTGGGCGACTTGAAGGATGTGCCACCGCAAACGATCAGCAGTGTCGGAAGCAGCATCAGGCAGGCGATGCAGGACTGGAAGAACGCGCAGTCGGAGCAGAAGAAGTGGGAGGAGGAGAACGACAAGCTCAAGAAGATTGAGCAGTCGGTCGAGGACATGCCCACGCCCGCGGACGCGTGATTGTGTCATCACCGCCAGCAGCGGCAATGAGTATTGTAGCGAACGATCCCCCAGCGGCAGATGCTCTAACAGAAGGCTACGCTGCTGCTCGCTGCTACTGCTCCCTCTGAATCACCCGAAGTCAGCTGGAATCCCCCCGAAGCCCTCTGAAGCCCTCACTCCCCCTCGTGCTCTTCCTGCCTCTTGGGGGTCGTCACGGCCGAGAGGAGGAGAGCAGACCTCTACCCCGCGGCCCGTGGAGGCCGCTGCGGCGGGCTCCGCTGCGACCAGCGGCCGCCTCGGTGGCAGCGGAGCCCGCTCCGTGCCAAAGGCCCGCGCGGCAGCGGGTCGCCGCAGCGCGATCCCGCCATCGTTTCAATCGTGGGTGCGGCGTCGGTGCCGCCGCGCCCGTCCCGCTGTTCCTCCGCGCCCTCCTCCTCCAGGTGCCCGATAGGGATGCTTCTACTCTCCCCTGTGTGTTGACCTTGCCCCGCCGTTGATCCTCCTCTCCCGCATGGTGTTCGTCGCATGCTCAGGAGTCACAGCGTTGTACACATCAACGTCCATGAGGCACTCCGGGAAGGGCCCCGCCTTCGAGGATCGAAGGAATTGGCATCTTCTCCTGGGCAGAAGGGCGGTGGAAGCAAAACGGGGCCAGCTCCGCATGCGAAGGTGGCAGAAGCAAAAGAAGCGTTCCTGAGAGATGACAGCATTTGGGGGTTTAGGGTCTCCAGGACGGGCCATACACACATATATATATACATATATATATATACATACAATGCATATGTATATACTCACCCACATACGCATGTGCGCACACACACACACACACACTGATTTACACACATAAACAGAGCTATCCGCATGTAATCATATACATACAATCACACACATGTGTACTTGCAGACGTACCTAGATTTACACACATATACATACAACACACATACATCGATCTATCGGAAGATCAGGCTCGCGGGCACAGGGCCAGGACCCCGATGTTACATGTCAGGGCCGGGAGTTACGCTCGCGTTTCGGGGGCCGTCGTCGCCCCCGAGAGCGACCCGTGCGGCCAGACGGCCCCGAATCACCGCCGAAGCAGGCTCGAGGAGCCTCAGGCAGCCCAATAGGGATCAGTTTTTTATTCATTGTTTCGCCGATCGGCGCGGGCCCCCGCCCCCCTCCTCCACCTCCCCATCGACCAGGTCTTGGCTACTTTTTGTGGCTGCTTTTGGCGGCTGGACAGGGCCGCCACCCGCAGTCAGCTTGCGCGAGTTGTAGAAGCACATCGACTAAGCACAGGCCCAGCCCCAAACCCCCATCTCACCCTCCCTTAGGCCAAGTGCCGAAACCCAGAATAAAAGAAAGCCGACCGTCTGAAACAGGTAAGAAGCTGCCAAAACGCTCCAAACGCCTTCCAGAGAGCCCCGAGAGGCAACCTTTTTGAATTTTCATGGGGCGTTGGAAGGATTTCTCCGTGCTCCTCTTATCGATTATGCTGCGCCCCAAGGCGGCCCAAAAGGCTCCCACAGTCTCCCCAAGACACCTTCAGAGGCTCCCGCGAGCGCCCTCAGCCAGCCCAAGAGGGTTCCGAGGTGGCCCGGAAGGTCCCCAAGATGGGTCAGGAGGGTTTTGAAAAGTGCCCAAGAGGGAGAAATCTAAGCGACTTCTGGGCCCGCCTCCGCCTTTGCCTGGTCCTCCTGCTCATCCTGCTTCTGCTCCTGATCCTCCTCCTCCTTCCTGGCTTCATGCTCATCCGCCGTCTCCTTCTCCTCCTCCGAGTGCGAACCAAATGATGGCAAAATCCTTCAACTGTTGGGGGACAAGGTCCTGCAGGAGCCCTCAGTCGCCGGATAGACACGGATTCAACGCAATGGAGGGGATGAGTGGAGGGGTGGGATGTCAGATGTGGCGCGAGCGCGCCTATCTTGCTTCCCATGCCAACAACCTCTCCCCCGCCACCTCCGCTTTCCTCCTCCGCATCCCCTCCTCTCTCCCCCCTTCCCCTCCCTTTTCTCTACTCCCTCCCTGCTCTCTCCCCTCCCTGTTCTCCTCCTCCAGATCCTCCTGCGCGGCTTGCGCTGCCTGTGCTGACAGATCCAAAAAACACCAGCTCCGCCTGTGGTAGCTGCACCACCATAGGGCGGGTGCGCGCGGGTAACTGGCCCCAAGCGGCTGGTCAGAATCTTTCTCCCGTCTCCCTCCCGCCCAACCACCCTTCCTCCTCCACACTCCTGCAGCCCGGCCGGGCATGCGCGACACAGTCAAGCTCCCAGCAGGGGGGCGGGAATGTTCCTCTCTCTCTCTCTACTTCTCTTTTTCTTTTCTGTATATATATATATACACATCCCTCCCCATTCTTTCTACTACTCTCCCTCTCTCTCTCTATCTCTCTCCTTCTCTCTTTCTCCCTGTTTTCCGGCTGTCCCTCATCTCACATTTGCAGATCGTTCGGTCATAGCTCCTCCAGCGGGGGCCAAGCTCGAGGGCACAGCCTCTCGTCGTTCCCTGCTGTTCTGCCCGGCCCCCCGCCTTCGGCCGCCATCCTAGGGCGCACGAGCACGGCTGCTGCCGCGGAGTCAAGACACGTGTTGGCGCGATGGACGAGGGACGATTCGTGCTCGCGCCGCGGCATGCGTGGGAGGAGGAGCAGGAGGAGGAGGAGGAGGAGGAGGAGGAGGAGGAGGACCAGTGTAAACCCAAGAGTCATCAACGATGTTGGAATAAACCCTGCCTCCAAGCTCCCTTGTCATAGGCTCCTACAACGGTTCATTTCCATTGAGGGAACTGCCTCGTTGGAAGGCACCCGTTTGAAGACCTTGAAGCATGCCAAAACATTGTTCTCGGGATTTCCACGCCACGGATCAACGTGACTGCTGCGTCCTGACGACTCAGAACCGCGCCAGCACGCCAATTTGGGGACTTCGACACCGCGAATCAACAGAACTGTTGCACCCGCATAATCCTGCATGTTTGAAAAGAATATGCGCGGCGCTAAGGCGAGAGCCACATTTTGAAAAGGAGCCGCCACCAATCCGTGAAACGCTTGCAAAGTTTTAAGACGAATGTGCGTGGCGCTTAGGCGAGAGCCACATGTTGAAAAGGAACCGTCCTCAATCCGTGAAGCTCTTGCAAATGTTTGCAACGAATGTGCGCGGTGCTAAGGCGAGAGCCACATGTTGAAAAGGAACCGCCCTCAATCCGTGAAACCCTTGGAATTTTGGTTCAGCGAATGTGCGCGGCGCTCAGGCCAGAGCCACATTTTGAAAACGACCCGCCCTCAGTCCGCGAAACTCTTGCAACTGTGCACAACGAAAGTGCGCAGCGCTCCGGCGAGAGCCACATTTTGAGAACGAGCCGCCCTCCATCTGTGAAACTGTTGCCAACTTGTAAGCTTCAGAGTCTTAAATGTTGAGGAAATCTCAGGCCAAACGCCCGGCCCGCCCTAACAATTGGTTTCGGGGCGCGACAGGGAGAAGGTATTCACACGGAAAAGGAATGGAGGAGGAGAAGGAAGAGGAGGAGGAGGAGGGGGAGGAGGAGGAGGAGGAGGAGCTGAGGGGAACAGAAGGGGAATGCAGCGGAGGAGGATGAGGAGGGAGGAGGAGGAGGAGGAGGAGGAGGAGGAGGATGTAGGCTAAGGGTTTTTCTCTGCTCCGCCCTGCCATGCGCCGTGCCGAGCCGCGGTGCGCCGCGCGGCTCCCGCACCGCCCCGCCCTGCCGAGCGCCGCCCTGCCCTGCCCTGCAGTGCCGCTGTCCTGCGGTGCCGCTCCCTGCCCTGCCCTGCTCGCCGTGCCATGCACGGCTCTGCCCAGCACTGCTCCCCCTCCTCCACCTCCTCCTCCACGCCCCCCTGCCCATGCCTTGCCATGTCTAGGGGAACGAACACTGACACAAACATACAAACTCGGAGGTCCGCACGGATTCTCTCGAATCGGCGCTGGACCTCCGAGAAATCCGCGCGGACCTCCGAAGTTTTATATTGATGCCATTGCTCGTTCCCCTAACGTTTGCCATGCCCTTTCCTGCACCGCCGTGCCCCTCCCCGCCCTGTCTGGCCATGCGCCACCTTGGCATGATATACCCTCCGCCAGTATGCGGGCATGCAGGCAGAACCTGCACGCAAGCAAGCGACGTTGCGAGGGTGCGTGCGGGCAAGCGGACAAGCAAGAGAGCAGGCAAGTGGTGATGCATGAAAGCAAGCACGCGCACGCGCGCAATCATGCAAGCAATAATGCAAACAATAATTGAAGGAAACATTATATCACGCAAGCATGCAAATATGTAGGCAAGCAAGCACGCGTGCGATGATGTAGCCATGCAAACAATATGAGAGCGTGTAAGTAAGCAGCCAGGCCAATATAAATCCTTACAGGATCGCAGTGGGACCTGGCACGTGAGACATCCGGAAACCATACACGTCAGGCCGTGGAACTCTGCCTCGCCGATTGACATGATGCCAGCGCGTGGGTTCTAAGCAGTGGCTCTGCGCACTCTACTGTGCACAATCTGTTGGGCGCACTATGTGGGATGCAGCCGATGGAGTACAACTGATGCGGTGCAATGTAGAAAGTGCGATTGACCAAGTCAATACTGAGTTGTCAGCTCCACGACTAGCGCAAACATTCCACCCTCCCTCCCGCAACTTGTTTTACAAAACCCGTGCGGCCGCGGTTGCGGTGATTGCTCGACACTGGCTGGCGCATCTCTGCCACCGCGCCGGCGCGCGCACCTTCGCGCGCAGGGCGGCCAGCTGGTGTGGCACAACTGCCCTTGGCCGCGATGGCGCCTACCCATGGGTACGTACTTCCGAGCGCGTTTCAAAGGCCGCGGTGGCGCGTGGGCACTTCAGTGCGGGTCGGTGAGTCGGGCGGGCAAAATATCAGGATGACGTCAACAGTGGCGGCAATGATGATGATAGCAGCGATCGTGGTGGTGATGATGACGAGGACGACGGCAAGGCCAATGACGGCGCCGATGTTGGTGACGACGACTGCGATGATGATGCGCATGTGTCAGTGATGAATGTAATTGGTTGATGGTGGCGGGAAGGGCGGCGATTGGCGATGACGGTAACGGCGGTGATGCGATGATATTGATGGGGGCGATGGTGAGGAAGTGCGCGCGCAGAAATGCCAGACATTTGGCAGATGTCTTCTTGAAAGTTGGTGATTTTCTTCGAGCACCAATGTTTGTGATAGGATGTCGACACGCGCGCGTGGCGGCGCGCGTGCGGCCCGCGTGGTATTATTTGATACGGGTTCGTGCCATGGGCGCATCAATATGCTTTGGATGCTTCTATGTTGCAATGCTTGCCACACTTCGGTGTTTGGTCTGATGTTGGCATGTGCGTGCGCATGTGGACTTCGTGGTGCCTTTTGTTCGCAAGGGGTTCTTACAACATGATAATGTGAGATAAACGTGTGAGCGAGCATCGGGATACTCGACAGGGATGAGGAGAAGTCGATACACGGTCGCTTGGGATGACACGGCCTCAGATGTAAAGTAAGCGATGAGGCATAGCCGCATGTTAGTTGCAATGCACCAAGGAGCACGTTAAGTATTGGGGGGGGGGGAGAGGGTGATATGGAGCTGTCCTTCTTTCCCCAGGAAAAGTTATGGGACGAGCCCCACCGACCCGCCATAGGGCACTGACCCCCGGGCACCAACCATACGGCACGCATGGCACCAGCCATACGGTGCCGACGCGGGATGGGGCCGTAGAGCGTTGACAAGGAACGGTCCTGGAGCACTCAGTGGGAACGGCTGTGCTGCACCGACTGGAAACGGCCGATTGCGACTCAGAGGGCAAGCGTGGGGCAAGAGCCTTAGAGCACCGACGGGGAACAGCCATGGAGCACCGGCCAGGAACGGCCCGATTGCGACGCACAGAGCAAGCACACGGCACCTCCCATAGATCACCGACCAGGAACGACCACAGAGGACCAGCTTGGAACTGCCACGGAGCACTGACCGAGAAAGGCCGCTTGCGACACACACAGTGCAAGTTCTCGAGAGAGCAGCCAAGATCCCTCAAGCGCAAGCGCCGTTTTGAAAATGAGTAAGAGCGCCTCAAAGCAAGCATGCCCTGTTTGAGGAAAGACGTACGAGACCATAATCATTTAAATAGTGATGTGAGAAGTAACAGAGTGTGAGGACAAGCTAGGTGCGCTCGCGCCATACCTGATATGCTACCCGTTCCACTCATCCCGTTGCGCTGAATAGGTTTTGGCATCCGCCGACCGGGGTGTCGTAGATAGCATTGACGCCCCAAAGTTCCCAATCGTTCGATGCACAAGCAAAAGGAGGGTGGCTTCGTACACTGGAGGAGGCTGAAGTGGCGGACGAGCTGGAGGATGATTTGGAGGACGAGGATGACGCGGAAGGAGGGCCAGCAGCAGCACGGGTAGGAGGAGGAGGAGGAGGAGGAGGAGGAGGAGGAGGGTACGTATTGAGCGCTGGCGGTGAGTCTGCACCCCCTGGCACCAAGCCCGAAAGAGGGGGTTGGCCTATGCTATCGTATTCACCCCGTTCGTACGAGTCGCACTCCCGACGACGCTGCTCCCTCTTCCACGCAGCTGGTGCCTCGGGGGGCTCAGAAACGGGCAGCTTGGCAACCTGATGGATGGTGAGGGAGGGGGTCGCCGCTATGGCTGGCGTCGGGGGCGGGACCACCGCGCGGCCGACGCAGACCCCTCTACAGCCTCGCTGTTCTGGAGCAACTCCCCAACCCCCACCACCCCCAGAAGGCGCACGGCCAGACGAGGAGGAGGAGGGGGAGGAGGAGGAGGAGGAGGAGGAGGAGGAGGAGGAGGAGGAGAAGGAGGAGAAGGAGGAGGCGGACGACGAGGACGAGGACGAGGATGCGGAGAGGGAGGACCAACTACCCACCCCCACCACCCCCAGAAGGCTTGCGGCCAAGCAGAGGACCCCAAACAGCTCTGATGGCGCCCGTCGGCCCGAACGGGTTGCCCAAAGCAGCCGTGCCCAGGTTGTGACCAGGGAAGAGGCCTTGCCCGAGTCTGGACCTCGGGGTCTTCTAACCTGCATGCTCAGAGCCTTCACAGATCTATAGGAGCTCCCCTCGCGCATGCTGATGCACAGAGAAGGAACGGAGGGGGGCGATAACGACGAGGAAGGAGTCGGATCCAGAAATGTGGCCTGCGCTGCAGTGGGCGCCATTTCATTGGACGCGAGCGCCATGGCAATGCGGGACAGTGCACAACGCTGGAATCCAGAAAACAGTCATGTCGAGGATATGTGTATATGCTAATCAAAGCGTGTGTTAAAGCCCAGTGTTTGACATCTTGTGGGTGTGGACGGAACAGATTCGGGAGAGGCGGTCCCCGCACTAGGCAGTATCAAGGGATAGAGGACAGTAGCATTCGCATCATGTAATTGTGCAGGTGGATGAGGAGGATAAGGACGACAAGGTGGATCGAGATGATGATGATGATGATGATGATGATGATGATGATGATGATGATGATGATGATGATGATGATGATGATGATGATGATGATGATGATGATGATGATGATGATGATGATGATGATGATGATGGATGCGGGTGATGATGCTGTTGCTGATTATGTTGGTGGCGATTGATGATGATGGTGATGATGGTGACGATAA